AAGATGTGATTATAATAGCTCAATTATGTGTTCAGGTGGAGTGTGGCTTAAGAAATTTTAGGTCCAGTAAGGAAAAATATATGGGTGGAGAGATTAAAGCAAGTTTAATAAGAGCTTAGCTAAACTTATTACAAAATTGAGGTCAAAAGAAGAACACCATTTTAGACCTTTTACTTAGCAATAAAGGATATCACAAGAAAGTTATCATGGCCATTCAAACCAACATAGGAGTAACACCATCATATATCCATTATAATGTTCAAAATCAAACATTATAAGTTAATTGACATTGAATTTGATGACAAAGCTATACACATCAAGGTTTTATCATTGTTGTGGCTAGGATTATGAATCTTTCCATAAACATTACAAAAGATTAGGCAACACACATAGTTTAATGAATGTTCTATGTCAGTCTACCTTATGAACACTTGGCTTACTATTGTCTAATATTATCCTTATGATATTTGCAATTTTAGAAGGAAAAATATAATATATTTTGGCACATCACCGTTTAAGTCACCTTGTGTGAATACCTTTGTAGCTAACTTATATAGTTCATTTATATTGAAAGCACTGACTCAAAGTGTAAGGTGGCATTTGAGTGTTTAGGGCCTAGGGTTTAGGCCTTAGGGTGTAGTGGTAGCGGTGTGGTGGCTGGTGGCGGTGGTGGTGGTGGTGCCGTGATTGGTGGCGGTAGTGGTGTCGGGGTCGTGATTGGTGGAGGAACTGGTGTGGTATCTGAGACTGAAGAAGGTGCCAGGGTGGTGCCCTCTTTACCACCTGTTTACGGCCTTGTCGGCTTACGAACTTTTGCAAGCCAACACGTCCCCAGACGGGGAGCATACCTCCCCTTTCTTCATAAGTCATCTGCAAGCAGGAAAGTATTTAATTAATACATCTACATACCACTAAAGATGAAAGTACAATAATACACAGTAAAAAGAAAGACAACACTAAATTGCATGTGTACAATCTACATATTATTGAAACTGAAGAAAACAAAAGTACGCACTAAACATAAGGGAAAATTGTAAAGTGCAACCTACAAACCACTTAAATTGAAAAAAATAAAAGTACAAAGTAAAAACAAAATAACACATATACATCTTTGTTAACCTCCTCTAATGTGTCACTTGATGATGTAGATAAAATTATATCATCCAAACCATCACCATTACATGCTCATCGATATCAATTTCTTCATTTTCGTTAACATCCACTAAACTTACCCCTTCATTGATATTGTCAAGTGAAATGTATGACTCCATCATTTCTAATTCCTGATGAGCTGGTTCAATGGAATTCTCAACATCAATAGTCGATGTCTGAACATCAATAATAGTTGTCAGTTTACCTGACTTATTTGTCTTGCTAAAATGAATGGATCAAACTTGTCTCTAATTTTGTCCGTCACAGGAACTACACCAACCCTATCATGGATATACGTATTTCACATTTTGTATCTAAGTGTAAAGCCACTCTTCTACCTAAGTATTCTCATCTTGACATCAGTTAATTTTATTCTTCTCTTTTAAAGGCCAACATTCTGCGCATAGAGCATTGCAGGTCTCACCACCACCAACAACAAGCCTTTATCCAACTAAGTGGGGTCAGCTACATGAATCTTTTTTCTCCATCGCGTCCTATTGAGTGTCATATTTTCATTTAATTCTAATAAATTAAGATCATTTTTGTATACAATATGCTCACATCTTTCTATGTTGACCTTTGCTTTTCTTAACATAAATCAAATCTAAAACATATGCTCTCCTAACTAGATCATCCGATGGTCGACGTTTAATGTGACCAAACCATCTAAGATGACTCTCTAATTTTGTCCACCGTAGGAGCTACACTAACACTTTCACAGATATATCCATTTCACATTTTATCTCTAATTGTAAAGCCACTCATCCACCTAAGCATTCTCATCTCGACAACACTTAATTTTATGCTTCTCTTTTAAATGCCAACATTCTGTGTCATAGAGCATTGCAGATTTTACCATCATTTTATAAAGTTTTCCTTTCAATCTAAGCGGCACCTTTCTATCACGCAATAGACCCGAAGCATTCCTCCACTTCAACCAGCCAAATTGAATTCTACTAATAACATCCACTTCTACATCACCATCACTTAGAACACTAGACCCGAGATATCTAAAGCAATCACACCTTAGATAAATCTACAAGAAGGATATCAACAACAAAAATCATAAAACAAGGTACATCATCATGTAAATGTTCGATAAGAGCATCCAACCATACCTTTGAGCGTCAGAGTAGGTGAGTCGCCGGAGTTCCGGCCGCTGGGGCACTGGAGTAGCTGAGAGAGTGGATGGGAGGGTTAGGGCATGAGGGAGAGGGATAGATCGAGAGAGATCTAGGGACTAGGGCAAGTTTGGGGGCTTCACGAATTTTGGCGGTATGATGGATTATTTCCGACAACTTATAAAAAACTTCAAATCCGCCGGTTATCAACATTAATACCGATGACATTAATCGTCAGTTACTAGACAAATTCATCAATTAATGCTCCACCAAATGATTGGTTTGTAATAACTGACGATATATGACTCTCGGTTATTATGTGCTTATAACCGACAAGCAATGCATCAGTTATAATAAAAACCGTTGGAAAATAATCTACTATTCGTAATAGACGATATATTTTGTTGTTATGCCTTTAGAAATAACT